TTCTAGCTTTTCTGGGTCTCGAGTTGAAAGTGGGTGACAAAAAGTGCGAACAAACAGACACACAGACACACACACACACACACAGCCTCTTCCCAATATGCATTTTTGCAGTTTGCATATATGCAAAAACGCATAAAAAGGGGGGTGGATATTTGCAATCGAGATACCCGTTTGACTTCGTGAAACGACGCGCTTCGTTAGACCCGTTAGACCCTCAACCAGAGTTTCTTTTTACCTCGATCTTTACTTTTTTATTGCTTTGTGATTGTAATTGTTCAGCTCAGCGATAGCATCAAAAATGGAATTTTAGGATCGCCACCCCTGTTCATTTCATATAAAACTGTGCCAGTGATTTTTGATAACCTTCGCTGCAGCTCACTTGGTATCTGAGTCGTCGCATCTGTTTCTAATAAAGGATACTTTTTGTTTTTCGGCCTGGTTCCCGAGGTCCGCCATTTGAACAATTCATACACTTCAAGTCATTATAACTCACGTATATACCATACAATTTGGGCCTCTTCGTGCATGCTCTATCGATTTTTACTCAAACAGATTGAAACAGTTTTAGACTGTAACTTGATAGTCAGTGTTTTAGAAAACATCAAAAATTTTGGGGATGGGCTAACTTCAGAAAAAATTTTTAAGTTAAACCATCAGTTCATCATGCTATGCTTCATACATTTTTCCGAAGTATTTCTTCAGGACGACAAATTTCTCCCGTTTACTCCTTGTGCCATTACTCGATAAAGCAGGTCTTTTCGTAAATTTTGCATATGAAAAATTTTTGACAGCAGCGGCTTTTTAAATGACTGTGAATCTATGTAGCATCAAAATTCACCACTAAAAAATTAGCAGAACGTCTGAAAATTAAACTGAAAATATAAATTTCTTATTTGAATTCAAAATTGCATATGTCTAATGAGTGACTGAACTGCGCAGCAAAAGCCATTTTGAAAACGAGTTATACAAAAGTTTTCGGTACATCTTTCGAATCAACAATTAATTTGCTGTTGTGTTTCGCTGGATTATTAATGTCAACTTGTAGCGTGCACGAATATATTTCACAATTACAATGAGCATCCGAACAATTGGTGTGGGTATCCCAGATTACTGAGTTACCCCCGCACGCTCATTGCAGCTATTCCAGGCCTACTGATCCTGGCCAGTTGCCATTCACTGCCTTCTCAATCTATGCATCTTTTTAGAGGTGGCTCAGTTGGTCACCTTTTACTTTCATATATAAAATTTGGAAAACGTGCTTACTTGGACAATCGCCCCAGAAGATGCAGCTTTCCTTGTGCCTGACGTAATTGTCAGCGCAGGTGCAAGCAGGTTCATCGCACGTTGCTGGGCACGGTGCTGTATCGTACATGTTTTCGCAAGTTGGCTCACAAGCAACTCCACATTTGGCCCACGTCGAATTCCCCGTGCATTCCACTTCTACCTGTTCACTCGCACGTAGTTAAATTATTGTCATAGATTTTACAAGCTCGAAAAAATGCACTTATTCCAGAAATTGATAAAAACTAAACTGCGCCGTGTTCTTAAATTCGCGTGCCTATTTATGTAACTCAACTGCCAGACACGAGGGCTGTGAAGCTACCATTTTGGATACACAATTTTGAGACCAATTCGAGTACTTGATCTGATTTAATCGAATGTAAATACGGTAAAAAGATCCGCTAAGAGGTTTATGAAGGGATAAATAGAGCTCAAGAGGTTTATGAAGAGATAAATGTCAGTTGCGTCTGTGAAGAAGAGTAACGCGAAGACGAAACAGTAACTGTTTGAAGTAACAAATAACAACGTATGTTTAAAAACGACGCAGGAAGGATTCGAAACTGAAACGAATTTTAAGCTGTCTCTTTGCCCCAACGTTATTTTAAAATTTATGCTCGCAGAAAAGCTACGGTGTTGAATTGCTGGTATCTTTTGATTTCCTAGTAAAACGACCATCTAAATTTAGTTTTTGAACTGTACTGCAGCTTGCCCTGTTATCTCAAAGTCAGGCTGCTGTTGCTAATCTTATACAAAGGCGCGTGCATACGATATTTGTTAAGCTATTAATTCATCAAGTAATGTAAAGCGAATAACTTTAAATCAGACTTTCGGCCCTTCACTATAATCTGATCTCGGGTTAGAAGTCAGACGAATTTTAAAATGACAAACTCCAGAAATTCACGTTCTCCGGCATAGTTTAGTAATGACAATGATGGGCTTTGAAAAGTCCTTTCTATTCCGACCATATCCTGACACTCAACGTCACTTTTTAACCAGACACTAACGGACAAGGTCAAATTCAAATTCTAATAATCATTTGGAGCTGAATACGTAAAAAGATTATAATGACAAAAGATCGCGACGGGGATCTATCAGTTTTCTCTGCATCATGGAAAATTGATTTTACTATATATTTTTTTGCAAGTGTTACTGAATTGACCTCCCGGAATCGAGAACCTGGTGAATACTAGTAAGCAATATACTAAAACTGCGGTAAAAGAGCTAAGTTAAATAAATAGTTTTTCAAGCAACATATGTTATATATGTAGCACATCCAAATCAGCGCACAGAATTTCAGAGTGGAATATATAACGACTTCACTAAATGCGTCAGATGCGCCAAAAAAGTGCTCTAATGGAGAGCGATAATTCCCGGATGTGATGCCGGTTTTACTTCCTACGAATAATTTATCATAGGAACCAGGCAAAACCACGCTACTCATCTTTCGTCGATTTTATACTATTAAGAAAACGAAATCACACAGTTTCAAAAAAAGCCTACCTCATCGGAGCAGAAATGAAACGGAACGCATGTATCATTGTCATTCGCTGCTCTAACATATCCTTCTTTACAAACACATTTTGGTGTACCGCAAGAACGCGGGCAGTTTGGGATCGTTTCCGGAAATCTTGTCCAATCACAAGATGCTTCACACTGACGCGTAAATTCCGGGCAGTTCGTAAATTCTTCATTTTCATTGCATATTTTTGTAACTGAACATGGGTAATCATCTGCGACCGTACAAATACAACTGGATTATGGCAAATACAAAAGCAGCGAAAAATGAAACTCGCAAATTACTAGCAAAGCTACTTAAAAGCAAAATGCAGGGAAAATACTAAAATTTTTAGGCATTTTGCGTGTTTTATGAAAAATTAGTTTGGCCTTAGTATCCAATTTCAAAAATTAGGAGAACTCGAAGTTTTGCGAACATAAATTTTGCGAACATAAACACGCTTTCAAAATTAAAACCAAGGGTGGAGCAAAAAGGAATGTGAGAGGAGTTCAAGTCCGTGGCCCGATATATTACTAGTATGTTCTACAAATTTCGGAACGAAAAAATGTGGCCGCTAAAGAAGATATGATTTGAAGTTGTTGGCTGGCTCTGTGATGCTGAGCCTAGATGAGTGAGTGACGAAAATGCATATATTTGGATACTAAAATACAAAATTTGATTTCAGGTCTCCGAAACCATACAAGATTCACGATTATGTTGTTAGATTTGACTGCCCTATTTTCGTAGTATCGGGACTTAAAGAGGCACGTGCAGACAAGACTTCGTTTAAATGCGCTTATTTTTGAATTTGTGAAAACGCGAGTAAAATCCTGGCTATGCCTCTTCTGGAAATGATTTTACAAAGTTTACTTGCAAGAGTAAGATTGCGAGCATCCGATGAGCGATCTGCATCTACTGGTACCGACGGCAGAACTTCATTTGAAACAATACCATCCTGTTTCTCTGCGCCTGACGGCCACCCGTAAGATGTTGTTGCCAGCGAATCTTTCCAAAATCTTTGAATTCCGAGTTCTTGCCAAGAGGGACAGTATTCATTGGAATCATTTGGCTTCCAACCAATACCGATCCAGGAATCGGTTTTGAATTTCAATACAAATTCGATCTCATTCTAAAGAAAGAAGCATTATAACTGAAATAAGCGCTGCAAATATATTTATGAGTAATTTTGTGGGCAATCCTGAACTTGAGCAATCATTTTGCCTCATTCAGTGGTCTTATTTGTCAATACAGCCCAGATGACCGCTTAGTCTTTTTCTCTATTCCGACTTAAAAGGCGATACTCATTAGTACACAACGTCCACCGATTGTCACAAAGATGTGCATCTTGCTCTGTTCATCAGATTCTTCCTGGGTTTAACCCACTTGTTGGGGAGCCTGACAACTTATAAGATTTGTTCTATTGTGCTTCGTGTAAAATTCTGTGAGCTTGATCGGTCAGTGATATGATGAGAAGACGTAGCAGCAAATAGTTGCTCTTTCTTGGCATACTTTTTTTACTTGTTTGGGGAAGAAATCAGTAGCATTGCAATATTTCGTTTATTATGCACTATACCATCGATAGCTTGTTGCTCAATGTACTTCCCAAAAAAAGATGCCAAGAAACGAAGCTGTCCTGCCGGCAGATATTTCAAAAAGTCTTGGCACTAGTCTATTTCATATCGTTCATCAAAATAAGTGTCACTTAATTACAAGAGGGGAGATGCTACGGCGCTGTAGGGTTGTGTCATGTGCCTCGATCGGTGAGCCGTTAATCTACTGTCTCTGTCTGCGACTAATTCATTTCAAGCAACGAACTGTCGATCGCTCAAGGGTTGTGTGCGGTACACTTGAACAACGGAAGTGTGATGCGCCGAGCAGCGTAAGGTAGGAAGGAGGCGAGAGAGATACGAGATATATGGGTCAAGGTCCGAAGCACCATGATATCTACACCACTACCAACCATTTCTCATCATTACAACATTCCTTAGCCCTAGTGCGCATGCCTTTTCGTAGCCCACAAATATAGCAAAGATGGTGTCGAACGCTGCGATGACTCATTCAGCACCATTCAGTTATTAAATCAGTGAATGTTTTCTCTGCATGAGCAAAGAGCAGTGGTAGTAAGGAAAAAGGCAGCAACCGACGAAAATTACTTCACATTTGAGCGAGTAGGTGCTTCGAAACTTGCGGATTTTTTCATGTTTTTTATGCATTTTTGCATAATATGCAAAAACGCATACTGTGGCGACCCCGGTGTGCATGTGTGTATGTATGTGTGTGTGTGTGTGTGTGTCTGTCCGGGTATTTCAACTCGGTACCCAAGCAAGCTCCGGCGCCAAAAT